TAGAAGGTTATATGGCATTCTATGTTCAACAAGAGAGAAATGGAAAAAAAATGTTATTCAAAGCAAGCGATTAACATCCACCCATCCATTCACTCAACAAATATTTATCTAGTAGGTATTAGATATTGTTCTAGATATTGGGGTCAAGACAGTGCCCTTTCCTCAGGGAGGTTACATCTTAAAGTGGAAAGACAGACAACAAATAGATATTGGAAAAATTCAACTTGTTCCAGGCATGATTTGCATCTGGATCTTGTAGTACCTAGAACTGCCTCTGGCGAGGGCCATCTGCAGTACCTCTCTAAATTTTGAAAAAAATCCTAAGACATTTACATCTCAACATAGTACCATAACTTCCCCGATTATCAACATAACACATGTTTATGACAGAACATTTGGAAAATACAGATTAGCTGAAGGAAGATAAAAATCACTCCAAATGCAATCACCCAGTTATTGCTAATATTTGGGCATCAATACTTCTACAGCTTTTACTTTATTTTATTTTTTTATTTTTTGACAGGCAGAGTGCACAGTGAGAGAGAGAGAGACAGAGAGAAAGGTCTTCCTTTGCCGTTGGTTCACCCTCCAATGGCCGCTGCGGCCGGCGCGCTGCGGCTGGTACACCGCGCTGATCCGATGGCAGGAGCCAGGTACTTCTCCTGGTCTCCCATGGGATGCAGGGCCCAAGTACTTGGGCCATCCTCCAGTGCACTCCCTGGCCACAGCAGAGAGCTGGCCTGGAAGAGGGGCAACCGGGACAGAATCCAGCGCCCCGACCGGGACTAGAACCCAGTGTGCCGGTGCCGCAAGGCGGAGGATTAGCCTGGTGAGCCGCGGCGCCGGCCACTTCTACGGCTTTAATACGTGTTTTCTCCAAGATTTGAGTGTTGAAACCTAACCCCTAAGGAGATGGTATCAAATTACCTTGGGGGAGGTGATTAGGTCTTGAGGGTGGAGCATTGGAGAATGGGTCAAAGCTTATATACTGGGGACCCAAGGGAGCCTGTGAGCCCATTTTTTCTCCCAGCATATGAGGAGGACATGGCAAGAAGGCACCGTCTGAACGTTCATCAGACACAAAACCTGCTGCCGTTTTGATCTTGGATGGTCCATTCTCAAAACTGTGAACAGTAGACATCTATCATTTATCAATTACTCAGACTCATATATATATTGTTAATGAGTCTGGATGGACTATTTTATACTTCTATGGTGCAGTGGTTCAGAATACAGGTTCTGGAGTCTGATTATGAATCATGTCTTGTTAACTGTGATTACTTTTTAAAAAAATTAATATAAAGAGAATAGATTTCGTGTATTTCATAGGTATAATTCTAAGAAGATAATCAGGTCACTTCACTTTTTAATCTATTTTAATTGCTTATAAAATGTCATAAAGTGTCTGTAACCTATTTAAGCCTCAGTTTTCTCATTGACAAAATGGGGGTAGCAATAATACCTTCCTCATAGGACTTCTGTGAGGATTAAGTGGAATAGTCCATGTGATGCTTATGACTTAATGCCTAATACATTAGCTATCATGCTATTATTCTACATAGTGGTGATTATATTGTAAAACTGTCAGTATATAAGCTATTATGCCAACTCATCACTAAGCATTTTCATAAGATCAAAAATATTTACCTACAATATCATTTTTAAGGATTACATAGCATTTAACTTCAACATAATATAATTTAGTTAAGTTCTCTATGGGGGTAGGTTTTGTGGTGTAGCAGGTTAAACTGCCACTTGGGATTCCTATACCCCCTTTCAGAATGCTAGTTGAAGTGTCAGCTACTTTGTGCTTCCAATTCAGCTTTCTGCCATTTCACCTGGGAGGCAGCAGATGATAGGGCAAGTTACTTGGGTTTTTGCCACATGGGAGACCTGAATGGAATTCCTGGCCCCCGGCTTTGGCCTGGCCCTAGCCCTGGCTATTGTTGGCATTTGCGGAACAAACCAGCCAATGGATTATCTCTCCCTCTTTGTCTCTCCCTGTTTGTCACTCTTTCAAATAAATAAATCTTAAATATTCTCTATTATGGAACACATGCGTTTTTTTTTAAATTTCAATTATTTAAAACAATTATGCAGATAAAATCTTGCAAATGTTTATAATAACATCTCGAGGGTAAATTCTAAGTGGTTGAGTCAATAGGTATGTATGTTTCCAAGACCTTTTGATGCATATTAGTATGTCTTCTTCTGTGAATTAGATAATAGTCTGGGTAGGGATGATGTATGGAAGTAAACAACCAACATATGTGAGAAGTTTTGTGGGCATGACTTATCATCAGCTTAGTGTAAATATTTTACCTTTCCTGCAACTCACTTCTTCTTCACTCTTGTCCACACCTTCTGGTAGGCATCATCTCTCCTCTTTTTTAGGGAGCCTTCTCAGTACCAGGCATCTAGCTGAGTAAGTTTGCTTATGGATTTATGATTTGCTAGGAATTTTGTACTTGCCATTCTTTTCAGTTAAAGCCATGAAATCATAGCGTTTTAATATATGAGAAATCCAAGCCCTTCATCTAATAGATGACATGAAACCAAAGTAAAGCTTACTGGTGATTTGTCCAAGTTGGTCCTCTGGTCCCTCCTATTGTCAGATCAGACAGCTAATTAAGGCTGGTTCATTTCATTGTCTGTAGTTCAGCAGCCACTACGGGTATGCAGCCAACAATGTTTGCTGAGTGAATTGCAATCTCAAATAATTTACAGCCTCCTAGGATTTTGTGGCTAGAGAGGACTAGAGAGGTGTGGAAACTGGGACCTAGCTTGGCTAATGATGTCCTGTAGCTTTTAGAGCCAAGTTGGAATAACCACTCAGGTCCCAAGAGAGACAAGAAGACAAGGCTTGGTGGGCTGAGGTAGGGATCCTGTAGAGAAAGGATGAAACCAATTTTGCTTTGCTCAAGGGAGGGCAAAACCAAGACCAGGCAAAATTAGAAGTCGTGGTAGGCCAATTTCAGTACTATATAAAGAAGAGCTTTTTGAAATTAGTACTATCCAAAACTGGAATGGGTTTTCTTGAAACAAAATTAGTTGTCCCTAATTGGGTGTGTTTAAGTAGCAACAGGGTAATAAAATTTTGAATGTTTGAAAAGAAACTTTTTTTTTTTAACTTTATGTGCTTGGCAGGGATAGATGACTTAAAGGGTTCTACCAAAATTAAGATTAAATGAGTTTGTGAATATCTGTATATTTGTATCTTGATAGAGATAAAGCTATTTTTTCCTTGCTGATCTATTACTTCCTAATTCAGTATGTTGGGTGCGAATCCATTATCTTTCTTATTACAAACAAGGATATATAAATTCTAATGTCTTTCCTGACCCAAGATTCTATGTTTCTAAATAATCTTTTTAGTGCTGTTCAATGTGCTACACACAATAGGAGTTCAAAAAATACATTTAAATTAGCTTTTAAGTCTGGAAAATCCACATTTAAAATAAATTGAGCTACAAGTTCCTTCCATTTAAATCATTTGATTAAACTCAGCTGGTCTCATCCAAATTTACTAGTGGATCATGCTCAAGAGTACTAAATATTCATTAGCTTTTTTAATTAAAAAAGGTTAAAATAATAGAAAAAATTGGAATCGATTTCACTGTGGTGGCATAAAAGTGTTCTCTTATTGGATTTCTGAATGGTGATATGAAATTATGACTGGAATTCTTTCCTTGTAAAGAAAAAATCCTTTTAATATTAAACTGCGAATATGAGTATGATTTTATTGCACCTCAAGCATAGAATTATTTAAGGACCACCCATAGTATAACCATTTCATACAAATTCCAGTGGTAAGATAGCCATGTAAATAAATCATATTCCAAGAGTGCTTTCAATTTTCAAGATTTTGCATCAATAGCAGACATGAAGGTTCCAACAAGCGCACACTTGAGCTGAGAGGAAAGCTCTGCTCTCAGACAGCAATCTAGCAAGCTTTGATGAGTGTTGGTGAAGACAGCTGTGATGCACTCCCCCATTCCAACCAGGGAGGAACTGGATAAACACAAACAGCAGAGGTTGCTCTTTGTTTGGCTTATCTTTCTTTCTCCTTTCCTCTCTCTCTCTAATGCAAAATATGAGGGTCAGCTTTGTGGCATTGTGGCATTGCGGCTGAGCAGGTAAAGCTGATGTCTGCAATGCCGGCATCCCATATGGACACTGGTTTTATTCCTGGCTGCTCCATTTCTGATCCAGCTCCCTGCTAATGTACCTGGAAAAGCAAGGGGAAAATAGCCCAAGTGCTTGGACCCCTGTACCCACATGGGAGACCTGGAAGAAGCTCCTGGCTCCTGGCTTTGGCCTGGCCCAGCCCTGGCTGTTGTAGCTATTTGGGAAATGAACCAGTGGATGGAAGATCTCTTTCTCTCTTGGTCTCCCCCTGCCACTCTCTGTAACTGTGTCTTTCAAATAAATAAAAATAAATCTTTAAAAAAAGATGGCAAAATATGAAAATTGAAATCAAAATCAAGTATTTTATTTGATTTACCAATGATGTTCTGGACATTCTTAATAAACAAAAAAGTATGCTGAAGTCAAGAGAGGCTAACCTTTTGATGGAATGTTCCAGCCATGCCCCCTTCCCACCCAGTTAGGAAAATATACAATATCTCAGGAGCAGCAAGACTTTCTACATTTCACCTTGTGCTAGATACTAGAGAGGTAAAAATGACACGCATGGACTCTGGCCTCACAGGGGCACAGCAAATGCATGGCATTGATTCACCCCAGAACCTGAGTCTGTTTGACCCATGACTCCAGACAATCATTGTTAATCTACCACATAATTGGAGAAAGAGGTGACATCCAATTTTTATCCCTGGTGGGAAATCAAAGGTTCTCATTCTGACAATCACAGTTACTTCACATCTATAAAGACTCATTATATAATACACTAGCGTTTGATTTTTTTTGAATGCCACTCTCAGAAACATGAAACAGAAAACACCATCTTTTTTTTTTTTTTTTTTTTTTTTAAGAGTTACCTCCACTGCTGCTTTTGCCCTTTCGAATTCCTCTTCCAAGGAGTGGTTTCTAGAAAGTAATGCACTTCCCCAGCGATGTTCTTTTGTCAGTCGAGCCTGAAATAAACCAAATACATAATGTGTAATATTAGAATTGTATGATATTAACATAGAAGTACTTTTCCTTTTCTCATCTCAGTTCCCTAGAATTCAAGAAGCAACTGTGATTGGTGTCAGTTTCGGAGTACGTGGCAGCCATGGGGTTGCCCAAACTGGGGTGGTGTCAAATCGTGTGTGAGCCTGCGTGCCAGATTCTTCCAGCAAGGGCTCCCAGGCCCTCTCATGTTAAAGCCAGACCCATCTCCCAAAGAGCCCACTTGAAGTGTCCAGATTCCAGCCACAATATTTTAGTAGACTCTCCAAACGATTCTGATACGCAGGTAGGACGGAGGCTCTGCATGGGGAAGCTTGATGTAGAAATTGATATGTGAGCCTTCAGCTTGTTAGAACAGCCTCAGGCAAACATGAGAGCTGTTGGGGCGGAAGGGCAGCTTCCAGGCCCTTCTCCTCATGCATCCGGCAGATTCCCAAGCACAGGACTCTGCCTTTCCTCTCCTCTGCCCCCTTTCTCAGGCTACTTCTCTCTGTTTCATAATGAGTTACTTAGAGAAAGTAATTTCTGATAAGAGTCAACAGGCAATGTGATACACAACTTAGCTAAATGCAGACATTTCAAGAAGAACTTCTCCTGATAGTCTGTTGTAAGAAAAAATGGGATTAATTCTAATTTCACAAAACAGATGTCTTTAAAAAATCATGAAAAGAGGTTTACTCCTAGATTCTTTTATTTGCAATTACCCATCTATTTACATATTGTTATTAGTAATGAAAATATTAGTAATGTGTTTCAAAAATGTTTTGAAATGTACATGGAATTCCATTGTGCAGCTTCTCTCCACTCAGCAAGTCTGTGCCTCTAGTATTTAGAGATCCACCTCGTCCTTTCCCCCAGGATTTCCCATCAAGGAAAATCCAGCTGCTCTCTGTGGGATTTTCTCCCACTCCACTGTGGAACCCATGAGGCTGAGGATTCTTTCTGGTGACTTTTGTACCCCTGAACCTAGCACAGGGTCCTATGAGCGAGGCCTGGGGGAGCAGGAGGAGAGGGACTGAATCCCTCATGCCGTTTTATTGTAAAGCCAGTATGCGCTGGGGTGGGTGGGTGACTTCACGGCCCCCAGGTGTTAGCTTGCCCCACAGCAGGGATGTCCATGTTGGCTTCAGTGGGAATTGCTTGAACAGGCCCAGCCCTCCCCAGACACACTCAGTAAGTAACTGCAGGCGGAGTGGGGCATCAGATGTTTGCCAAGATCCTCAGTGACTGCAGAGCAGTCGTGCTTGAAAATCGCTGTTCTATAGCAAAACATGGCCCTTTCCAAAGCAGCTACACAGCCAGCCACTTTCCACCCAGCCTCCACCTTCATGGTCCTCAATGCACAACAGCAGGCCCTGGGCTCACTACGGACCAGATCCTGCTCTCTCCAGCGATTCATCTGGTCTTTTTCATAAACCTACGAGACGGGCATTATCATCAACTCCATTTTCATGATGATGACACTGAGGCACAGAGAGCTTAGTTAACTTCCACAATCAGAGTGCTTGGGTAACAGTCCTTGCTTCACGTCCAGTTCCAGCTCCCCACTATTGTGCACCCTGGGAAGCAGCAGATGAGGTCTCCAGTAGTCGGATCCCTAACACCCATGTGGAACACTTGGATTGAGTTCCAGGTTCCTGGTGTCACCCTGGCGTATCTCTGTTGTTGATGGTATTTAGGAACTCAACCAGCAGATAGGAGATCACTATCTGTCTGTATCTGTCTCAGTCTCTCTGCCTTTGGAATAAATAAAAATAAAGAAAACAAAAGTGAGATTGACCAACACACCATCCTGGCAATCAGGGTTTTAGAGCCAGATTAATACAAGATAATAAAAATAATAGATTTTTTGTATTCCAGTTTGTGGAAGCAAATTAATATTCATTGCAGAAGTAAAAGAAGCTGAATTAACCTTGATATAGTCCAAAAAATTAAATTTTTTGAAACCAGGAATACCATATTTAGTTTCAGAGTAAATAATTAATTCAAAATCTTCCTGAATTAGATTGAGTTAAATTGAATTGAACAATATTAAATAGATTTCTGTTCAATAGGATGGAAAGATAAATGTCAACAGGTTGCTATAAATCATAAGGAAAAATTATGAGAGACATATTTTGTAAATGGTGTTATATGCCTTCATATGTTTAGCAATACTATGAATTAATGCAACCGTTGGATTGTGGCTAATTTTTTTTGTTTGGAAATGATATAGTACCTGAGATTTACATGTGGAATCTAGGAAAACTGAAGTCACATAAGCAGAAAGGAGAATGGTGGTTACAAGGAGCTGGGGGGGGGGTGATGTTTTTCAAATGATGTTAAATTTCATCTGGAAAGGAAGACTAAGTCCAAGAGGCATACTGTATGACGTGGTCACTAGAGTTAACAGCAATGTTACTAAGCTAACTGACAATCAGAGTAGATTTTTAAATGTGGTTGCCACAAAAATACACGTGAGGCAACGCATATGTTAACTGGCTAAGATTGAGCCATTCCACTGGTAGGGTATACATATTTCAAAACATCATATTGTTGTTAAATTAACAACAGGAGTTACTGTGCACTTAGTCCCCATGTAGGATCTCTGTCTTTCATGTGTTGTACTATGCGAATTAACGGTAAAACTAGTATTCAAACAGTACTTTATGAGTCTGTGCAGGTGCAATCTGTTGAAATCTTTACTTAGTATATACTAAGTTGATCTTCTGTATGTAAAGTTAATTAAAAATGAATCTTAATGAAGAATGGGATGGGAGAGGGAGTAGGAGATGGGATGGTTTGTGGGTGGGTGGGAGGTTATGGGGGAAAAACTGCTATAATCCAAAAGTTGTACTTTCAAAATTTATATTTATAAAAGCTTTCTTTAAAAAATGAAATAAACAAACAAAAAACATCATATTGTACATGATAACTTATTGTACATGATAAATACATACAATTTCTACCTGCCCATTAAAAACAACCCAAAAAAAAAAGAGAAGTAAACATTGTGCATTTATATTATGTCATGAGTGACCCATGGATGGCATTGGAAAAAGAGGAGGCCAGCCGCGGCTCACTAGGCTAATCCTCCGCCTAGTGGTGCCGGCACACCACCGGGTTCTAGTCCCGGTCGGGGCGCCAGATTCTGTCCTGGTTGCCCCTCTTCCAGGCCAGCTCTCTACTGTGGCCAGGGAGTGCAGTGGAGGATGGCCCAAGTGCTTGGGCCCTGCACCCCATGGGAGACCAGGATAAGTACCTGGCTCCTGCCATTGGATCAGCACGGTGCGCCGGCCGCGGTGGCCATTGGACATTGGAGGGTGAACCAATGGCAAAGGAAGACCTTTCTCTCTGTCTCTCTCTCTCTCACTGTCCACTCTGCCTGTCAAAAAAAAAAAAAAGAGGAAGCACTAAAATATTTCTGGCCCAGGACACTTCCTTATTTCAGCAGGCACATGTCACCAGTGCAATACGACCTGCCTTTCTTATGAAGCTTGACCTAACAGAAGTCCATTACTGACTCTGGCTTCTTCCCTTCATCAAAGTTTCACGACCCCGTAGGATTATGAATCACGGGGTAGAAAGGGCACCATATATCAGGCAGAAGAGGCAGACGTTCGCTCACTCAGGATTCTAGGCTTATGGTTCATTTCCTCTTTACACTTGACACAGCAAGTGCAAATAGAATCTTACTGTGCAAATGAAATTTTATTTTGATAGTACAATTACTATTTAGGGAAATGCTATTTTCCGCATTGCTAGAAAGACCTTAGGTTATTACTAAGACAAGTGTTATCTCACATTTTGAAACCGCTGATTTGCCCAAGGAGGCAAAAGATAAATGCTATAAAATATAGGTAAATACTGAATGTAAACAGAGGCAGTTTTCAAACTGAGATTAGTGTGCAATCAAAAATTCGGAAACTTTTCTGCACTTTTGCGGTGTGCCTCAACATGCTGGTTGTGAACTGAGAATGAAATCTAGGTTATATAATATCTGGTAAAGATCAGCCTATCTTTCACCCAGGATGTATAATTTTTGGCTCACCTAATTTCATTATGGGAAAAACTGTAATACAAGAAAACATGTAAATAATGCTTGTAAATGCTTAGCATTTAAATAGTTGTATTTAAGTAGGTGTAAATATGTGTAGGATTTAAATAGGTGTGAACAAAGCAATCACACCCATAAGTTTGGACTGTAGTTGTTTAGACAGCACATTGTCCAAAAGTCAGGGCATCAGAATCATCTGAGCTTGCTAAAAATGAAGATCACTGGGCCTCCCCCGCGGGGTTTTGAATCAGAAGGTCTCGAGTGAGGCCTCAGCAGCTGCATTTCTGACAGGTTCTCAAGTGCTACTGACGCTGGTGTCTCTCAGGACCACACAGAGAAGCCCTGATCTGGATACTGGCATTCCGTGCAGGCAGGCAAAACGCTGGAGTGCACGCACGTCCTCTAAGGAGGACATTTCTTTTCTCGCTTACATGATTTGGAAAATGCTCCATAGCTATAGCAACCTTCTGGAAATACCTTGGTTTTAAAAGTGGCACTTTAATTGATTCAAGCTAATTGGATTTTGGAGTATTACATTATCCAAAGAAGAAAGCGGTTAGCTTCCCCAGCTGTTGATTGTTGGGAACGACAAGCACTAGGGAATGAGAAAGAAGAAAGACTTTAATAACTCTTTAAAAGGAATGTTGTGTTCTATTCTCTTTATCCAAGATTATGATTGTGATCAAAATTCTGATTTGAAAATTACTGTATTTATGTCTGTGGTTGTCCTGCACAGCTCTGTTAGCTAACCACTGGGTCAGTCATTCACAGCTTCTTATACAAGTGCCTTTATGTTATTGCTGGAGAGCTCCCACCAAAATACATTTAAAAAGGCCAGTGTTCTTTAAAAGAAATATGCTTAACCATAAAAAAAGACCTTGGGTGACGGTATAACATGGTTGTTAAAAGCACAGTAACTGGGGGAGG